TCCAGTTTATAAACTGAGAAATTAATTAATTATTTATGTGATTATTTTGCATACCAACTGTTTTCTCATAATCTTCTGTGCGCAGTACTATCATCGATCCTACACATTTTCAGAGTCCTGTATTAATTAATTATTTGTCAATTAGTCAGTTATTAATTGTGAGACTTATCAGCAACTACTATACATTATTTGGTAACAATTATGGAAAAATTCTGTATTGTTATTAATTATTATATTACACATTACTAAACTAAAATAAAAAAGTTGTTCCTATGCTAAAATAAAACAGTTGTAATATAAAATTCTACATAACTTTACATATTGTACAGTTGTAACATATCTAAAGCTATAGAGAACAGAAAAAAGTATGAGAAGAAAAAGATCCTAAAACTAATCTAAAACTTTGCATCAATATAATATATTTGTGGTTGTCTTTCAGGTGTTTCATAAAGAGTCTCTGTTTTTACTTGCAGCTCTGACACAGTGCGACCCTCCTCTATACCAGGTGGACTTGGCTGCCATAGAAACAAACATTGTGCGGTTTAGACTGCGAGACCCTGGGCTGAGCCCTACTGAGTTCTGTGAGCTGATGGGAGCAGTGAGTGAGGGGGAGGTGGAGACTCTAGGGCAGGGTGTGCGTGTCCTGATGTTCCCACATGTTGGTGGCACTGTGAGAGCTGTGTGGCATCTAGACATTAATGAGGAGGACACTCAACTGGCTATAAAGAAAGCACAGTTTTTGGCTCAACAGTATAGCTTAAAGTCAGAAAGAGCCAGATGAATTCAAAGGAAAAATCTTGAAACAACAAAGTCACAAAAGCTAAAAAGTGCTGTTGGCCACTCTGGGGGTGGAGGGCAGGAGGGAGATATTAGTAAACACTCGGTACGTTGGAATCAACACCTGAATTTTGACAGATCAAATAGGATGAGCACAAGTAATTTTTACTTATTAAAGCCTAATAAGGCCTTTTAAGTCTAATTTTGTAACATCAACATTTTTAATGGATTATCTATCAGTATATATTTATGAGAGGAAATTTCGAATCAGCTCTCAGTTCTCTGATATGATGATTTTGATTGCACTATTCATATCTTACTGAATGAGAAACACCGATTGAGCCTTATTTAGGCAATTTGAATCTGTCTGTAAACAGTACTGTCTGGTTATGAGGCCAGTTTACACCCTAATATATGTCCAGTTTGCTAGCACACAACACAATTTTTGAAACCATATATTGCAGTAGCGGTGGGAAATGTTCACGATACATCATATGTATCACAATATTTTGTTTTTCGGAGGTTTGACAAGTTGAAACAGACAGCAGTGCCACATTTCAAAAATGCAACCCTAATTCCAAAAAAGTTGGGACGCTGTGTAAAATGTAAATAAATGTAAATAAAAACAGAATGCAATGATTTGCAAATCTCAAAGACCCATATTTTATTCATGACAGAACATAGAACACATATCAGATGTTGAAAGAAAAATTTCATGAAAAACATTCTCATTTAGAACTTGATGGCAGCAACGCATCTCAAAAAAGTTGGGACAGGGCCATGTCTACCATTGTGTAGCATCCCCTCTTCTTGTAACAACAGTCTGTAAACATGGGAAGTGAGGAGACCAGTTGCTGGAGTTTTGGGAAAGGAATGTTGTCCCATTCTTGTCTGATGTAGGAGTCTAGCTGCTCAACAGTCCTGGTTCTTCTTTGCTGGATTTTTTGTTTCATGATGCGCCAAATGTTTTGTATTGGTGAAAGGTCTGGACTGCAGACGAAGCCATACTGTTTTGATGGATGCAGCATGTGGTTTAGTGTTGTCTTGCTGAAATATGCAAGGCCTTCCCTGAAACAGACGTTGTCTGGATGAGAGCATATGTTGTTCTAAAACCTCTATATACTGTTCAGCATTGATAGTGCTTTTCCAGATTTGTAAGCTGCCCACGCCATAGGCACTAATGCAGCCCCATACCATCAGAGATGCAGGCTTTTGAACTGTGTGCTGATAACAAGCTGGATGGTCCCTCTCCTCTTGAGTACTCAGGACATGGTGTCCACGGTTTCCAAAAAGAATTTTAAATTTTGATTCATCTGACCACAAAACAGTTTCCCATTTTGCCTCAGTCCATTTTAACTGAGCTTTGGCCCGGAGAAGATGGCGGCGTTTCTGGATCGTGTTGACATATGGCTTCTTCTTTGCATAATACAGCTTTAACTTGCATTCGTGGATTGTATGGTGAACTGTGTTCACAGACAATGATTTCTGGAAGTGTTCCTGAGCCCATGCAGTGATTCAATGCAGTGCCACCTGAGGGCCTGAAGATCACAAGCATCTAATATTGACCGTTGACCTTGTCCCTTGCGTTCAGGGATTTCTCCAGATTCTCTGAATCTTTTGATGATATTATGTACTGTAAATGGTGGGCTATCCAAAGTCTTCACAATTTTACGTTGAGGAACATTTTTCTGAAATTGTTCCACAATTTTTAGACACAGTTTTTTGCAGATTGGTGAAAATCTGCCCATCTTTGCTTCTGAGAGACTCTGCCTCTCTAAAATGCTCTTTTTATACCCAGTCATGTGAGGTAGTGGCAAATTGCTCCTCTAGCTGTTTTTTATTAGTACCACTTACTTTTCCTGCCTTTTGTTGCCTCTGTCCTGACTATTTTGAGATGCGTTGCTGCCATCAAGTTCTAAATGAGTTAATGTTTTTCATGAAATGGTAAATGTCTCACTTTCAACATCTCATATGTGTTCTATGTTCTATTGTGAATAAAATGTGGGTCTATGAGATTTGCAAATCTTTGCATTCTGTTTTTATTTACATTTACTTACATTTTACACAGCATCCCAACTTTTTTGGAATTGGGGTTGTATATGAGTACAATTATTTTTATTTAACATTTCACATAGTGTGCCACACTAGATCCAATTAAACAGGACTAATTATGCTGTCTGTAATGAAACATGCAATTGGTCAGTGCTCTTTAAAGGGGAATTCCACCCATTTTTAAACATGTCTGCTTAATACAATCATCAAGATGTAAACAATCATTCAGAGTGTGTTGATCTTAACAAATGAATTATCCAGGAATTTTTAAAATCAGTTGAATTCTCATTTAAGTACTGATGATATGCACAGTATAGTCAGACCATACTGTGACGTGATTTATAATTAACTCTATATTGCAGTTTATCAGTTTATAGTGTAACAAACATAAGAGAGAAAACATTAGTGAATGGAACAATATGATTTGAGGCCAGTAATTCTCATTTATTGCATTATGTAAACCAATAAAGATATGAAAAACTTGTATGTATGTCCAGATTAAGAATCAAAATAAATTCTTGCAGTGTCTCTAAATCTCCAGGCATAAATGATTAAGAGACCCGCGACACACTTTAGGAGGCGTTTCTGTATTTGGAGTAATTGACTTTGTCACCAGGGTTTATGTAATAGTGTCCCATAAGCGCGTAACATGCTCATTACAAAGATGGATCGTCATGACGACCAGGATGAGATTGTATTTGCTGTGCTGCATCTCAAGAGGAGCCCAGGACCACATGCTAGTCACAGCACATAACTTAGATCCTTCTGATCCAGCAGCATTAGAGGTGTTTTACAACAGCACAGTGAGCGTGTCTGAGATAATTAAATTTTATGAATAAATTGTCCATAGCAGTATTGAATTGTATACTTTGTTTTATTTCTAATTTGTCTCCTGTGCATATAAAACTTGGCTTTGAGTTAACTTTGATGGTCTAATCAATAGTTGCCCATAGCAACAATGTTCCCCATGGGTTCTAATAGTTGACAACTTAGACACATGTTAATAATTATCTCTTGCTCTATAAATAGGTGCAATTACTTCCTACATATTTGAAGCTAAACCAATTGCAAGCATGTGTATTTATATCAGTGAAACCATTTTGTATCCTTTGCAATTAGTTGATGTTCAATAGTGTGCCCTGACATGTAATTAGCTCTTCAATACATAAGGTCAGGCAGCAGTAGCTAAACACTGTACATGCCAACTAAAAGGAAAGATTGATTCGTTTTTCTAAAAGTTACAACTGCCTTATAACTAATCAATGGATAAGAATAGCAATATCATTACCATTTAATTATGCAAGAGTACTGAGCCTAACTGTAGCCTAGATCGTGGCCCAATTCACTCTCATTGTGTTGTAATTCTGTAGGCAAGCTTTTAACGAAGCTTCTCTCTCCTAATTGCATGCACTTGGGATGAAAATATGTAGGTTTTTGGTAAATCTTTGCCCCAATGTTTTTTTTTTTCAGTACATACCATAATAATCTAAGATTCTAACTTATACTGTCCCTCACATCTCTATAAAGACCTCTATGTTTGTAAACTTGACTTTGCTTAATTGGCCTAAAAGTACATGGGCAATCAAGCATGTACAAAAAATTAAAATAGGCGAAGAGATACAGTGATGATTTGAGGGGAAAAGTTTACTAGAAAAGTACATTGATTTGGGTGAAGGTGAAGTAAAAGAAGAGAACAATTAAAATTTTCAGTCCTCCTGTTTATAATATATTGGCTCCAGCTAATAACCACTTGATTTCTTTAGAAATACAACCTTTCCCTTAACAATAAACATCCAAAACACAAGTACTTATGTTTTTTAAAGGTTTTATTCTAAAAAAAAACATGAAATAACCACCACAACAATGTTCATATCTCTCCAAGGTGAGTTAAACAAAAATAATATTACAGTGATCATGAATAGAAGCTTGATTTTTTTTTTAGGTCCAACGACCTCCCTTTTCTTCTATAATAAAGAATAATTTGGTAATTACAGGAAACATTTATTGGATACAACAAAGGCTGTAGCATGGGTATAAGTAACGTACAGCATTTAGAAACTGCTGATTTGATAAGAGAAATACTGGGACAAAGTATGCCAACACAAGCACTATTGATTTTCAACTTGGCAAACAATTACATTTAGTAATTACCTTAAAATACCAGTGCTTTGGACTGGAGACATACGTGTCTTATATGGGGGCCACAGTCTCCTGGTACTGGGTTAATTGGGCCATCCTGGCAGCAAGCAGCAGGAGAAGACCAGTTATCACTTCCAGGAAGAAAGAGAGCCAGGCCATGCCCATTGACCAACCGAACGATGTGTGAACCAGAGCCATCTGCTCCGGCCCCATCCTCTTCTCCGTTTCCTCCAGAGCCTGCTGGGAATAGCTGATGTACAGACTTACACCAGAGAGTGTGAGTAGACCTGACAATGAACACACACACACACACAATTCAGCAATATAGAGTATGCATTTAATATAGTTTCCATATTTTTACTTACACTCATGGGCCACTTTATCTGCTACACCTACCATTTAGGTGCACTTGTAGGTATACAGTTACTGACTGCAGCCCGTCTGTTATGTACAGCATATTTTGCCAGCCACTCTCAACCATGATGTTGAAGTGTGTAGAATACATAAAAGAATACTGTCCACATAGCAATGAATTATATGCAATATACACTTTTAAAATGTTCACATTTTCTGCAGAGATGTCAACAATTCATTCAGAGTGGTTTGATGTGAAATGGTGCATTGTAGAGAAACTTACCAACTCTGATTTCTTTACAGTGGTGGTGATCGGAAACAGGGTTTGCAATGTCTACAACACAAACAGCCATTTTATTCACTGTCTGTACCTCTCTGCCATGACTAAATAGAAATACATTTGGCAAAAACCTTCTCTCAAAAGTATTGTAAAACATTGTCTCAGTCTTTAGGCAACGTATTTGTAATAATTTCATGTAATAACTGCGACTTGGCTTTTAAAGGCGTTAAACTTCTGGTACACATCTGGTACCCATTGCCACCGCTGTGAACAATTTTGACATCAAACCACTCTGAATGAGTTTGCTAACATCTTAATGGTTTATCCCTCTATATGGCCAGGTCCCAACTTTGGCCCAAAGTTTTACTACATACTTCTATATCCTAAGAATAGCGTAGCCAATTTGCACTGAGGTCCCTGTAGTTACTCAATAATAAGCCTTATTTTGTAATAAACCTGGTATTTTAAGGGGTTAATTATACAGTAATTTTGAAAAAAAGGTGGAATTGCCCTTAAATAATGTTATCCAAAAAATGTTCAAATACAATATTATAGCTTTACTGACTAGCAAAACCGGCAACCTGTACTGACCTTTTTTGTTTTGTTTTTTTAATCATTCTAACGATTTAATTATGCAGAAATCTTTGGTAGGGATTCTTAATTATGCAAAATTTCCCATCAGTGTCAGGGTCTTAGCTCTTGACATAAATGTATCCCTGTATGTACATTCAGTTTTTAGTCCTTGAGCTGCTTGATAACAGTAACCTCATTTAATTACAAGAACATTAACAAGCAGACAGCAGTACAAAGCAGTATAAAGTGGCCATGACAAAGTGAAGTATTTCCAATACAAAGAAACATTTAATATCAGCTAATAAAATGCTTATTCTGCATTGCACTTTTCATTGTGTTTTGTATGTAAATGCCTTATAAATTAAATACATGTTCCATATTTCATTTTTTTAGTAAAAAGGTTGAGATTAGTATCATGAAAAAATGAAAATAAAAAGAAAAATAGAGGGTCTGGCAAATCTGAACAGTATTGTGAAGAACTTCAAACACACCTCAAAGGTTTTTTGAAGGACGTGCAGCTGACTCAGATGAGCTGTATTGCTGGCCCTTTGAATGCTCAGCATCTGATTTAGATGACTATAACTCACCTTTTACAGCTGTACTGGACCACATGACTACAGAGATAAATTTTACTCACTCTCTTTCAAGTCTACCTAATTATGTTCTCAAGTTGACTCACACAATGCAAGCATTAGCCAAAAAAACAATATAAATCCTATCCAGTGCATGCCAATGTGCCAATCGTAATCGCAGTGTACTCTATAATAGCACTCAGGAGATGAACTACTAGATCCTACTGGTAAGCTGCATCACAGAACCAAAACGCTGACTCGCCAAGTGACTGAGTACTTTTCTCATCAATACAAAAGGTCTAAAAGCTCATAGCTACAAAAAAGGCCTTTAAGTTTACTACGCCATTGAATCAACAGAACACATCAGCCGCACTGATGTAGGCAGAGTTCATATTGGCCCATCACTAAAGCACCCAAAGGTGCTCTCAATCTCCTACAGCAGGCATTATAACCAAATCACCATTAGAGCATGCCACTGTGGAACTGGAGCAGCGGAACCCATATCTAGTTAAACTCTGACAAAATGAGACTAGATTTTCACATGAGCCATAAACTTAAGAGGCAATAAAGAGTGAAAATAATGCAAGCTCTAATTAGCAAATGTAGTAATGATGCAGGAGCAAACAGATTGAATTTGGAATTGATGTGCCATACATACAGCTAGGCAGACCATGTTTTCATACTTAAATCACAGCTAGATATGAGGAGGCAGGAAAATCTTTTATAAACTTTTAGAAAGATCTGATCCAAAACATCATGTACTTGACATTAACAAGCAATAATATCCTCCTTTTGAAATACTGATGACTTTTGTGCCTCTGAGACCTTTGATTTAAAATGATTGCTGGGCATGAGCGAAATATAACAAATTTCCTGTGGTGAAGCATTCTCTACCTTTTTCACTGTTTTCTGCGCTCTTGTGGCGATCAATTATGGCCTAACATTTCAAGAACAATAGAGAGAGCCTCAGAATGAAGCTTGTGGTGTGTGCACCTCTCACATGGTCAGTGGGAGATGGAGATTTGTGCTTATGAACACTCAAAGATGGCCTATTGTGGGTTTGCCTTTTGTAATCAAGATCTTCTTGTGGTTTTCTGTTTACAAAGGTGGACTTTCTCATGGATAAAAGGTAAAATGACCAATGTTGACTTAACATAGGGGTTGTCTACATCCAGTTTTCTCCATGTTGAATTAGACTCAAATGTGATGAAGACTTCATTTAGCCATGGACATTTTACTCCTGGTCTTGTTTTGGATTGTATTTGAGAAGTGAAGTAATATAGTAGACCTCAGGAAACAGAGTGAGAGAAGATTTAATAGCTTTAACAGTGTTAAACACATCCCATGTGCCCCTCATTACCACTGTGATAAGTGTAAAGAATTATTTGCTGGCTGTTTCTTTTATATCAAGACAAGGAGACCTTTATGTGTGGCTTAAGCTTTTGGGTGCCAACTGGAAGGACACAGGCCTTGAAACGCTGTTATTCAACAGCAAACTCACTGTATCTCTATTCTTTTCTCAAGTTGTTCTGCTAAGTCATACTGATACTGACCAGAATCTAGACCTAAAAGGGGCTGTGGATATTATACTGTACATGAGGAATCTGACCAGTCATTAAGAACATTTTCAAATATGTAGATTAATATATGTCTTACTAATCAATAATTTAGTCACATTTGTCAGTGTTTAATATATTACATAAGAAATGTGATCTGTTATAAGTAATTAAAAATGTAACCAGTATCAATCTTTTATGCTGTTTTTACTCTGGGCAGTGCAGGATGGTACAGTACAGTTAAAAATCTGTGATAACACCTTTTGTTGTTATTTCCACTGCCGAGTGAACCTTACCATACATCTTTCCTGGGTACCAAGCGTACTGAACCAGAGAGGACACAGGTACCTGACCCAAGGTACGGACAGTCCTAGGTTTGGCTTAGAAATCGTACCGTGTTGTACCGTGCTGCTCCATTAAAAAACACCTTCACAGTACTTAAAAACTGGAATCTAATCTGATTCTGATTTTTTTTTTCTGAAAAGTAAAGTCGTTTCTGTACACCTACTGGTCAACTTCTGAACTTTCCCATCTCGTCTGTTCAAAGTTCAGACCATCTGAAGATACAGCCCTTATATCCCATCCCCTTTCTCCCCCAAAGACATAATAATATTACTGGTAAATCATGAAGTAAGAAAGACTGTTTAAAATTCTTTATCTGGGCTGGATTTCCCAAAAGCAACTTAGTACAAAGATAATTCTTAAATGGTAGAGCCAGCATCACACTGAACACTCTCTCGACCAGTTAAGATGATGATCTTAAACTGGGCCATAAAAAACACTATATCTTTGGAATAAATATGAATAATGCATTATTAATAACATACGGTTAAAAGACATCCTTGTTTTTAAAAAAGGTTACTGATGTCTTACGAGATGTTTGGTTCCACTTCTCGATGTACCTCAGACTTGTTCAATTCCACATTCAGCACAACAGATTTAACGTAGTTAATTAATAATTCATTAAAACCAGATACAGAATGGTAACTGCAAGACTGGGTGACCTCGTGGAGAGGTTTGCAGATGGTTGTGATGACATGTAGTCTGTTACTACCCACAGCTGCATTCAGTTCACAGGCAGAAGATTTAGTGATTTCTGGACATTAAACATTAGATGAGATAATTACAGAAACATCCTAAAGGTTTATACTCACTTCCCATCTCTCCCCCGATACTCTTTTCCTTCACTGTCTGTGATACTGCTAACATTTTTGACGAGCAAAAATGCAATAAAGTAAACTGTAAATTAATTTCTCCCTTATGTATTATAAGATAATGTGCTGTAATAACATCAGTCCCAAAACACACATCAGTAAAGCAATTATTCTCAAATTTTAAGACTGACAATTTCCTCTCTTGTTTCCTGTGTGTTCATAAGCAAAAGCACAATGCTCATAAAGAGAGTCCGGAAATGTGTTGCAATTAGAAAACAGACGACCGTCACCTTAGAAATCTAGTGCCAGATTTTAAGGGCTTTAGAGTACTGTAATAACGTAACAACGCAATAAATAACTGCTATAATAATGTAATAGTGTTATAACTGCAATAAAATGAAATGTAAAACAATTACACAACAAAACCATAATCCAACATGGACATGCAGACTTAGGTGGCTGAAACTTACTGCAAAGGAGAAAATAGGAGGCAGCACCCATGAGGAGAGCTCTACTCCGGGCCAGAGAGCTGACCAGACCACATATTCCTCCAAACACTAAGAGCACCAGACTCAGAGGCAGCAGAATGGCTATCACATTGTGCATGTCTGCATGGAGGAAGTTGAATTACAACCAATTAGTTTCAGGGTGATGTTCATGTCGACTGCAAACACAAAAGTGCAGACAAAGTGAGTAAAGTTCACTGTGCTATGATCAGCAGTGCAGACTGAGGAGAAGCAAGTTTGTGTGACGTTGTTTCTGTATAAAGCCATGTGATTTGAAAAGAGCTGAAATTGTAACTGCTTTATACAGAGTCAAGTATCATAATGGACTTACTTTGCATGTGTTTTGCTGATTCTGAAAGGTTAGGTGGAGCTTCTGAGAAGGGCTGTACATCTACAGTCAAAGACATCAAGAAATCAGCAAACAAAAATCAGCAGATTACATTTTACAATATACAGTTACAGTATGTTTTACCTTCCATAAGCTATAACATCAAAATACTATCAGGAAATATTCATCAAGCAGGTAACATTAAACAAAGGACATAACATCAGCCCACTTTTAGAAAACAGGTATCAAGTAGACACTTTCAGATCTATATAAAGAAAACAAAATCCTTGCCATACCATCACTCACTCCCCAAAATCCGGAATGCACGTGCTCCGGCTCCGTGAGATTCGTGCGCGAGTCGTCTATAATGTACCAGTACTCAGTTCCAATTGCGAGCGCTAGGAAGCAGAAGCTGAGGATGCCGTTCACTCCAGCGGTGACAACCACAGAGCCAAATCCAACCTTCATGTCGAGCCGCGAATCTGCCACGTACTGCGACACAGAACTACCCAAGCAGCAAACTTCTACTACTTGCCATTCACATCCAATAACGCGCGACAAAAACGAAGTGCACTCAGGTGCCCCCTCCCGCGTTTATTACTGGCAGCGACTGAAGAAAGTGTCCCACGGTGCCAGCAAAGACGTTCACGACGACTATTCGCACCAAAGACGTTCCTCCAGCACTGCGCGCTCCCTCACTCCAGCGCGCCTTAACGCACAGCATCCTGTGACACACTCCACAACACACTGTATTTCTAATACGACGTTATGTAACACAACAAACCAGTTATTACAGTTTAACACCGTCAGTTTCCTCTCGTTTCCTGTGTTAACAAGCAAAAGCAAGAAGCACTTGGTTTCTATGTTTTTTTTCCAGCAGGGTTGTTATTAGATGAACAATACCTTAGAAATCTAGTGACGAGTCAAAAGCTTTTAGAGTACTGCAGTATGTAACTGTAATAAAAACTGTAATAATAATGCAATAACCTTAACATAAGCTCAACAAAACACTAGCATTTACATGAAATGTAAAACAATTACATAAAACCTTAATCCACCACGGACATGCAGACTTATTCAACAGAAACTTACTGCAAAGGAGGAAATAGGAAGCATTGCTTCTACTACTTTGCCCTACTTTGGGTCAGAGAGCTATGCAATGCCTAAGAAATTATTTATTTCAAGAGATTTGGTGAAAGACCAGAACAAAACTAAATCATCTGTACAATAGTTACTTTAAAGTCAATTACACTGCAATACAATATAGGCAGCTTTTGCAAAAGTCACAGACAAAGGTATTTTCACTGGTAGTTTTAGGTTCTAGGAATAAAAAGGTCTTAATACCAGTAAGAAGAAAGCTAAACACCACAGCTCATTTGCTGGTGCTGTTGGATATACAGCACATGCAGAAGTCTTTACCTGCAGTCTGAACATTAACGTTATATAGAAATTATCAATGTATTTCAGAAATAATGCCCCCACTATCCACCCCATTAATATCACCACATCATATCACAGGATTATAATGATTTGCACTTAAAATATAGTTTATTCCAGTATATTCCTCAAAAGCCCAAAGGGGACAGACAGCAGCCTGGTACCAACAGTTGAAGAGTGGTAACAAAAATGTTAATTGAACACAACAGCCCAGGGTCCAGCTCGTTTACAGGTACTGTTGGACATACAGCACATGCAGAAGTCATTGTCCACCTGAGGAAGCTGTTCATAGATTTCTACCTGGGCAACAATAGCGTTTTGCTTGTAAAAGCACTAACACTTGAACAAATACAAATAATACAGTGTCATAAAACATCCATACAAAAAGAAATGTTGACTTTTTAATGAAGTCTTAAAGAAAAACATGGGTTTGGTTCCACCTCCCCTATATGTGCTCCAGCCATTGCATCTGTTTAGTCCCCCCCATCAGCAACTCTGATTTAATTTACTGATAGCACTTGGCTACCCCAAGGAGAAGTCTGTACATGGTTCAGCTAAACATCATTTTCTCAAGACTGCCACATAGGTTGCAGTTGATACATTAATACATACATACATACATATATACATAATCCACTCCAAGTATATACATGTCTAAACCAGCAAAGGAAACACAAAAAAGTCATGAGGTAGTCTCTGTGTCCATCTTCATTCTTCACCCATTGCTGTCTGGATGATCTGGCCTCTTTTCAACTTCACAGCCTCTTCAAATTTATCAATGGCTTGTTTGCATGTCTTTTTCTAAAATTATTAAAAAAAAAAGTTACTTAATTTCATTTCATTTCATGACTTGCTTCCAATTCATAAATAATATTAAATGTAGTGCTGCCAAAACTCCAACAAAACTTAAACTAAAGGAAATAAGCATACACACAACAATTATACGCCTTTTTATTTTTTATGCTGGCAAACATATTTGAAAGTACTTTCATATTTTTTGGCAAACATTTAATTTTCCATTTTCCTTTGATTCAAGGGGGTCATGAAAGCTATCTAGTTAGCTAGATAAGTTAACAGAAGTTTTCTCAGGGAGGTACTTTGGGTCAGTTCGATTCTACATACATTCATACATGCATGAAGCTTTCCAGCATGCACATGATTCTGTACTACAGCAGTTTAGAAAAATACAGTTATAGTACATATTTATCTAAAGTTACTTGCTAGTTAACATAAATGGTCACTTCATGTTGGTTATAGAACAACTTAAATCTCAGAGTTTTAAAATGTATGCACATAATAAGCTTGTTACAGTAAAGGAATGTGAATTGTGCTGTCATGTGAATAAGTTGGAAAGTGTTTACTAAGGTGAACCAAAGAACAAATGTTCTTTGTGAAAAACAATTTTGGCTATGGCACTTGTGCTGCTTCATTTTGATTTTTCTTTAAAAAAAAAAAAGGGCAAAATGGTTCTTCAGATTGATAAATGATGCATATGTTTGGGACCTCAGTCTTTAAGTCTATACAAGTAGGTTACTAGCCTAGTCAAGCCTCTGGTAATTAGTTTTTCCCATTACATAAAAAAAGCAGATTTGAGGGTTCATAGACAGAGTATTATGGTTAACTGGGAGTGTTGGTGCTGTCATCCTGCTGCTCTCATGCTTTCACTTAAGTTTGCTGACGGTGGAGCGGAGGGGTGCCGAGACCTCAGGGAGCCCTCATGTCTCTCCCTTTTAGTTAGGCTGTAATATTCAGACCTGCCGGAGTCTCTGCTGTACTCGTAACACTGAACTGTAATCAGTCTCTCTTAACAGAACTAACTGCCTGTGTCTTTCTCTGCCGAGCTGAATAACTGCCCATCCTGTGTGGTCTGATGCTGTCGCTTCATCTGCCTTGATCGGGTGCCCACTGCTCGCCAGCATTCTGGACCAGTTTGACCACCATGGAGCTTCCAGCTGTACAACACTGTGCAAACTTCACCTGCACTGACCCTCCTGATGATACTGCTGCTGCACAGACTTGAACTACTTAATCATGGCCATTGCTTCTTCTGCTGGGAGTTGTTCCTTGGCACTGTCACCATCAGCTTGCTCATGGGAGCTTGGACCCGGATTTTTCTGTAAAGCTGCTTTGTGACAACGCCTGTTGTAAAAAGTGCTAGCTAGCTATAATTATAATATATATCTCTCACACACACATACACCTTTGACTTCACTTGATGTATATGGTTCTATAAAGAACCTATGTAAAAATGTTCCTATTCAGCATGAAAAATTGTTCTGCTAAATGTTACAATGTCAAGCTTGTGACAATAGAACAGAAGACCCCTTTTCGGTGCTATTTAGAATCCTTTTCAAAAATATTCCTGATCAATCTGAAGAACCAACCATTTGAGGATTACGAGGATGTATACAGGCAGTAACCTAGTACCAACAGCTGTAGACTAAATGAGTAAAACTAATTTCTTTCACTTTTATAAATTAATCCTTTCACTGTTGTTCCTCTCTACAGACACACTCTGCCATCCACTTGTCCTTCTGAGTTTCAGTCATTCTTACAGTTTCTTGTTCATCTCTGTACGCACTTTTTAAATTAATATAGCCAATGTACTGAAAGGACTCTTAGCAAACGCACCAGATGGAATCCTTGGAAGACACAAAAGTGAACCCTTGCCTCAGGACCTGCTCATGCCCAGCTAATGTACACAAGTCTAGTGAATGTCCCTTCCCAGTTAAATCTAAAAAAGGCAAAGAACTTGACTCACACCCAGTGTAGATGCAGCAGAGGGGGTTTAGTTGTTCGCTCATACTTACAATCACAAATTTCTGTCTCTCTTTCTCAAGTCTGAGAAATTCCTCCACAGTCAGATCCTCCACTGACTTTTTCATGGTGATGAAGTTGCAGGTGGGAGAATGTGCTTTGTGCTCCTTTCTATATTAAAGAAAAGCATGTTAAACTGTCAGACATGATTTAAATGACCAATCTACATGTAGAGTATTGTTAATTATGAACTTCAAGTAATATATTGTTTAAACCTTCTCAGCAGATTCTCATGGTAACTACCAGATAGCTTAACAGTAACAGCATTAAAACATTAAACGTTTTCATCAAACACTTTACACAAACACATCACAATATTTCTATATTTCTGACATCAGGTAAACCAGAGCAGACAAAGTGGAGCCACATTTAATTACTAAAATACAATTATTTAGATCTCACATTTCACACTGTACTACACAAAACCAAATCAAATTGTAATCAAACATTCAATAGGAAAGTGTTTAAGTACTGATACACACGCCGTACTCAGAAAAGCGTACTGTGAAATATTGTGACAATTTATCACGATCACGTTATTGTCATATTGAGCAGCTCTAATAGGCCACAGCTCTTGTAAAGACTCACTCAGGGTCGTCTTCAGGCTCCCAGCCCTCCAGCTCTTTCAGACAAAAGAAGCACTGCGCTACGTCAGGGCTGTTTCCAGACGGTGTGTGAATGAATCCAGCTTTAGCCATCTACAACAAGTATTTTAGTTAGCCATTAGCAAAACGCTCACCATGAACAGAGACGCCGGCAACAAAATCCCGTTTCTGAGCTCCATATGTAAGGCCTACAGTCCGAGCTAGTTAGCTAAAGCTAATTGTTTTGGTCGTGTTACTTACGTTCTCAGGGGTACAACCGCAGCCCTCCTCAAACGGCCAGCCAACGAAAGTTAACAGTCTGTTTTCATAGAAATACATCTTGGTGTGGCCGTCGTTAGCAAAATCCATGTTGAAAGTCTAAGTCTTTTGTCTTTTCACAGAAGCAAGTTACACTGAGCAGGTCACACTACTGGCTGTTGAACTTTAAATTTCCCAGCGGCGATCTGATTGGTTAAGAGATTTGACACGCATGCGCTCATTCCGGAGAAACAGCGCCATCTTGTGGAGCTGCTGTGGGTTGATTCATCAAGTGATACATTTAATGCAAGACATTTCTTTACTATTTAAGACATTTTGGGCAGATAAAAATCTGAAATGTCACCATTTATGTCTCACTGAGTTATCAAACTGGCAATACAGTCTATTAGAGGCCTACATCGTGAAAGGATGAAATGAAAAAAATGAAAAAGTTCACAAAAGAGAAAGACAACTGACTAAGCACCTCATGAGTTCAGCTACCAGAACATCCTTGCAAACAACTCTTTAAATGCTGTACAAATTCATACTTTCCTGATAGCTGTGGTCTTTGATGCCCACATCATGGGGATGCAAGAGCAATTTGTTATCAAAATCTCCTAACAAACCAAGAAATAGTTAAATAATATTTGACTGAGAATATTTTAATGGAAAAAGCAATCTGAAGTTCACATCTTAATGACAACAGGTCTTACAAAATTACACTTTCAGAATCAATTTTCAAGCTACATTATGTTGCCTGGTTGTCTCGTTGTCTTGAACACTAGTGAAATTCACTCTAAAATCTCAGACAGATGATTTTTTATTGCTTTCAAAACCTATTTAGAAGGAAAACAAAGACAAATTGCATGAATCTGGAAAAAAAGAGAAACAGTTTGTTGCTGAATGGTAACAGTGAAAATGGTTTCTATGGTAGATGAGTTTCTTCAGTAGCAATATGTGTATGATGAGGCTTCATTTTCTGGAGAAATAATGATAACCCCCTAATGAAAACGTTCCTTCTTTCTCTAAGTCCCACACACCATAATTTCTTTTACTGAAGATATTACACATGCAGCACTGTGTAACTTCAGCACATGAAATAACACTTGTCTGTTGTGTACATTAGTATTGGAAAGAGTAAAAAGGGAAAAGGCAAAAGAAGCAATATAGGGAAAAAAGATGTAACATAGTTGAAAGTGTTGGTTAAGGCCCACTGACAGAATATTGTAGTGGCTCTGGATTTTGTAAGGTTGTGTCGTGTAAAAGAGGAACACTTTTGAGCAGTGACTGTTAGGTAGTGCTAAACATGAACAACACAAAAGGGTAAATTGTACATAAATGAATGTAAAATGAATATGTTAGTGTATTGCGAAACCCACATTGATGAACTTGATACATTTTACATCTAAGACTTATTATGAAACGTAAGGAGAGACATGTGTATGTAAGTGTATGCTGTCCTTGCTCTAGGTTTACTATTCAAATAGGCAAAAAGTCTAAAATTTGTGATAGTAGCCCTTAGCCTATGGTTACTCAGAATATCAACACAAAAACGTAATGTTGACTGAAAAGGGAAACATCTATATTTTATCCACACATTTTGTGCTTGATTTCCAAACATCCATCCTCAAACATACCACATCCCCTTCTTCTCCCACAGTAAGTCCAAAAGTTTCAGGTGGCAGGAGAATGAAAGGTTCCAAAATGTCCACTAGGTGTCAATATTCCCAGAGAGATGAGCTATCTGCATTCGCTCCATCGCATTTCAGCGTGCCCCCTTGGTCTCCACGCAGATACTTGCCATTCTTGCCCCTTATTCCAATTCGGCCGTGTTCTAAGAACTCAAAGCAGAAGTCTTCAGGTGTATCTCCATCAGAACACACCATGCCATTGCTGGACACATACCAGAACTTTCCTCCTGCACCTGCAGGACAAGCACATCTATCAAACCTGGACATTTGGCATTAATTTTCAGGTAATCGCTTGGACAATTCCACTGATTTTTTTCTAAATTCTTGCATAATTCAGTCATTTAGATATAAACAAATCATTGTTTGATGTGAAATGGTGTATTGTAGAAAAAGTTATGAGTCAGATTTCTTTACAATAGTGGTGATAAGGTCACCATGTCTACAATACAAACATAGCCACTTCATTTACTATTCAAGATGGCATGTGAACCTATACATGCCTTTTAAGTTTTTAAATGTAATGCTGATTATGGTAAAATAGTAATAAATACAAAAAATATTTTTTGGGAGGGAATATTTGCCTTACAATATTCTGCATGTACCTCTGTGTCATGATTTGACTTTTAAAATTAAACTTTAGGCTAAAATGTTATCTGGAATGGCACTTTTTACATCAAACCACCCTGATTGACACTGTTTCTTAATAGTTTAATTATGCAAATATTTTGAAAAACAAGGAGAATTCCCCTTAATATTATCCAAATTATCCAAAAAATGCTCTCTTATAACTTTACTGACTAGCAGAATTGGCAAACAGTACCAACTACCTTGAGATAAACAGTTTACACTGTTAGTGCTAGTTTAGTAAACCTACACTAAGATGAACATTTAATCATGAATCACCATTGATACTGCAATTTAGTCCAAGACTAGGGTTAGTGCATGTCTGGGAAACCAGACATTCAGACATCACTATTTTCATAAATAAACAAAATTCACCTTTAATATGATATGCCCCATCACTGAACTGTAATGTGAAGATGTCATAAACTGAGCGGTTGGCGTCCAGTGTGTTAGAGTTCTTGTGGTGGCACACATAGCCATTCTCCCCTCGTAAGATTAGGATGGGCCTGTTGATCAACTTCAGAATCAGTTGCTCATCCTCCCCTGTAAAATTCAAAGTTATATCAATCAGACTAACAGACCAAGCAGATCTTCTACAGGTTAATTTCTGTAAACACCAGCACTCACCTATTGAGTCGCTGACTGCAGCCAGCTGTCCATTCTTCTTGGTGCAAACATATTTTCCATTGCTGGCTCGTAGCGCCACCCTTTGTCCAAGCCATACAATGTCAAACATGGTGTTGGCACCTCTGCACACAAAGAAGAGACAGATACACTCTTTATCTTATGATATTTATGAGACATTAATTAAAAATGTATTAAATCCATACATCAGGGTATTTAAGTGGAAAACATAATAATAGGACAACTATAAGCTCCAACTGGCCCTCATAACTATCCTCCAGTAGTATCACATGAATAGTATTTATTGGGAAACAGGAGTTACTGGCACTCGTAGTAACAACAGGAGTCTTCAAAAGTTGCATCATACTTACACTTCTGTGGCTGTGGACTGGATGCCTCCATGAGCTACAAGCGTCCAGTAGTTGCCTTCATTTGTCCTGAACTTACACTTTTTGCTGTCTTTGTCAATCTCCATTTGAAACGTCTCCATGTCTGTTTCATCATCCTGATTCGCAGAGATACTCACTCCTGTGGGGAGACAAATAGAAAACATGTGAAAAACACTTTACATATGGGTTGTCTTTCTTTTACACAGACAAATCCTTACACAGTAGCAGTTTAAGCAAACGTAGCTTTGAAAAAATGGTCCTACCTGTGACATGTAAATATAATTTCAAATACAATAGCAATGACACATTAATGGCTTTTAAATACAAACCTCATTTTGTTTTTTTTATCCCTCTTGACCTATTCTACAGTTTTTTATTCTAAAGAAGTTGATCTGATTAACCTGCTGTAATGGACCTTCAGCATTAACCTGAATCAGTATCTTCTGAACTGTATGATTAAAACGATCATCATCTAAGTTAATAAAATACAATACAGTAAAATACACAGAATAGTTCTGACAGAAACAGAAATCTAAATTAATAAAATGATGTTTACATAAAACCCACAACACATGCCACATCATCTGAGCAAAACAGCTTTGCTAAATCACCTAGACCATATTTAATTATGAGTGATCTATAGTGATTTGGAAAAAAAAAAAAAAACATCACTGATAATGTGAAATTAGTTACATACAAAAAATAACATTCTCTAACTTATTCATAATCGCACATCTCATTTAGAAATAATGAACCAGAACAGGCTCTTTTAAGGCATCACTCATTTTCAAGAGTGTACTTTATTTGGACTTGCATCTCCCAATTTCTTTGCTACAAAGTGTTACGCTAAGTATATGAAATATCAGTTATGAAGTATGCTCCCACTCCAATATTGCCATTGGATGTTAGTATTCAAGATATTTCAGTGTGATTAAATTTTCTATCACCCTGATAAAACCTTCATACGTGGCATTTGTGTTGATGCTTTGCTACATCCTGCTCTGTTTCTAGCTACGGATGATTCTCAGGAACATGAAAACATGTAAAAATACATATGCTTATATACACAGCTCATTGTTTATCCCATTCAGGGTCTCATTTACAGCAAGAGAATGTTAATAGTATTATGCTGGAACTAAAATGTTTTTTTATGCTGCTGTATAAAACTGTGGGTTAGACAGCTTATGGATTTTGTTTCGCAATCTAACACCAGTTAATGAGACAAAAAATATTAGGACTTAATTTGTCCAAGTTAGTTTAGGCACATGGAGAATAAGTGCATTCCTAAAAAGAAAGGAGCACACTGAAGTTCAACATGAAGAAGGGGATGAATTTATAATGTGTGTCAATTATTATGCAGAAGTATGAAGGGCATAACCACTACCGTTAAACCAAAGCCTGCTCAAAACTACTTTAGAAGATGTTTAAGGTGCCTTTGTTCTAATGGTGGGAGGTAAAAATAACAGCTCAAACAACTTAAACTCATTGTGAATTGGAAATCATGATGCAGTTTCTTTCTATACGGAGGTGTAATGTGGAGTTAAATACAGTATTAGGGTGGGTTTTTGAGCTAGTTGAGCATTTTGCTCGATGATAGGTGAGGGTTGTGGGAGGGGTAGGTGAACTATGACATTATTGTTAAATATTATTTCCCCTGCCTGCTGGTTCATGATGATATAATCAAAACTTACATCATTTAGAGGCAGACAAAAGCCATTACACTTAAATATTGCAGGACAGCAATAAATTTGTCTGACATGATAGGATGAATCATGCTTTAATGGGAATTCTAATATTTTTTGAGATTTCAAAAAAAAATCTCTCAAAAAATCTAAAGTCATTCAAATCAAAGTCATTCAGAGTGGTTTGATGTGAAATGCTGTATTGTGGAGAAATGCAGTTTCTTTACAGTGGTGGTGATGGGAACCAGAAGTCACAATGTCTACAATGCAAATATAGCCATTTTATTTACTAATCGAAAATGACCAGTGAATCTACATGTGTCTTCAGAGTTTTTTGTAATGTTGATAATGCTAAAGTGGTGGTAAATCTGAAAAAAAGTTAAAGAAAGTTTTCTTTGGGGACATGCATGTACCATTACACCATGAACATAGTTTAAATATACGTTTTAGGCCAAAACCTTATCACAAGGTTTTTAAAAAGTGTCTGGGGTATCAAGCAGTGATACTCATAGCCATTTCATATAACAGCTTTGTGTGAGGTAAACATTACACTATTCTGATGTATGGTTCCTATCACGCACTGTGAACAGTTCTGACTCAGTAAGTCTCTCTAGAATGGAGAATTTCAAACCACTCTAAATTACTCTGTTTATGTCTTAACAACTGAATAAAAAAACTGAAATATCAGTGAAATTCCTATTACATATGACTAAGAACATGAACTAACAAGGCATAAAGGGTCTTATTATTATTATTATTATTATTATTATTAAGTATCAGCAGTAGTGGCATAATACTTTGGGTATGTTGTATATGTTGTACGTTATACTGTATATCATTACTGTTCAGGCAGTTTCATGAAAATATATAAATTCATATCTTCTACCCCAACACTTCATCACACATAAATACAGACCTTTACCTTCTCAAATGGACCTAAAAGCTAAATAAACCCAAGTCCTTGTTTCCACGATGCTTTTGTCCTTTAATTCTGTTGTAAAACAATTGGCATCATTCAAAATGCCCCAGACAGATTGGAGTTGCTCAGGCCTAAAGTGGATGCGTCCAGAAATATCCCTTGATTATTTTCTTAATCCTTTAACAGCCCAGATCCTGAACCTTACCCCCCTACCTCCTCCATTCTGTCACCCTTCCTCCTCTCCTGCCCCTCCCCTCCTCTCTCTCTGTGCACTCCTAATGCTCTGTCTGTGGAGAAATGCAAAGCCGCACCGTGGGGCTCAATAAGCAGCTTTGAGTGGCGTATGTACAATCCTTCAGCTCTGCCACCATAGTCCCTGAGCAGAGAAGAAAAGAAAAGGCTAAAGTGATGCCTGTGTTTTCGATGGGACACAGCAGGGTGCTGGAGACGTGCTGAGAGAGAAACCAGAACTATCAGCACAACCTGCAAGCGTCCATTGAATGGTTTTTCACAATTCACAATTTTACGCTTGTGCTTCATGTATGTATGCATATGGGTTTCTGTGCATTTGTCATCTAGCAGTATATCTTATCTGTTATTCGCATATCTTGCTGGATGTTACCGTCAAGATTATATTTTACCCTTTCTAACAGCACAAGAAGCACCTGGACTGTTTAGTTACCACTGGAGTACATACACACAAAGGTTTGCAATTATATCAGAGTATAAAAAGTTTATAACAGAGTATAAAAAGCTTTTTCTTTCACTTTTTGATCAGGCATTATTTCACTGCAGCCCTTCATCTCTGTGTCCCGTTACACTTCATTTTCCAATTTCATGTCTGATTCTGCTTTACTTTTACACATCAGATAGAAACAGAGAGCCCAGCTGTGACTGGACTCTCCCCTTATCTAGTCGTTTGATCAGTTCTCCTCCACAACGTGATGACCACTGAGCTCAATCCTGCACGCTTCAGCATGACCTCAGGCCCATCACAGAATACTCCCTCTCAATTTACTAACCCATTTCTGGAGAATGTAACAGTACCCAGAGATACAGAGACAGGCAGAGGGCCCTCTGCAAACTGGGGCAAGTAGATCAGTGTATGTTGGCCTTGTCAGACACCTACACCATTAAACCAAGCAATGCAAATGTGGACCACACACATGGGGCTTTATTTACTTAAACATTCTGAGCAGAGCTAGAATGAACCGACATCTAGCTCCTGATGTTCGTCAACATGCAACCACTCAGGCCACTGCTAGAGCATCTATTGGTAACATATCAAGAAATTTTCTCAGAGATTAATTATAAATGGTAATGTAATACCAGAAGCTACTGTCCCTTGTGGTTTACAAACTGTCATTAACCAACAGTCAATTATCAAACTAGCTTTCTTTTTAATAGATTTGTCTCTGTATTTCTCATGTTTTCTTAAAAAAAGGAGAAAACAGAAGTGCACAGACTTAGATGTGTACACAGACCGCACGCATGTCTCATCGTTTGGGCTCTTCTTTTTTTTACTTTCCAGGCAGATCAGCATGGCCCAGCAACACTGGAAGGTGCTGAAGGACATGGTAACAGATCTGCCTACTAGAGCCTATGCCATAAGATAAGAAGATAAGCTCTCGTTTTGGACTGGCTCCCCATCACCTTAACCAGTGCAACCCCCACTTCCTCCGTACCTGCTGCAGCCTAATCTGACTCCCAACCTGTCCCGGCCAATCCAATACATGCTAACAAGTCCCCAATCCGAGCAAAGTCATCCAAATGATCAGAGAAACAATTTTGAAAAATTGCCATCCAATGTCACTTCTCATTATTGATTACAAGATCATCTGAGCTTGTGTTGCATCCTGGAGTGAGACGCCCAGGGCTTAATGAACCCCAGACCTGCAGAGCTGATTGGAGGACTTGTCGGAAGTCATCTTGGCCTCCCTTCATCATGCAGCTACTCTCTGGGAGAAATGAACTGCTGCATCCATTAGCAGAATTACTTTAGCTTAATTGCTTTTTGTATGGGATGAATATGCAGTAGATGGTGAGAGATGCTTCATTCTCATTAGCTACAACTACTCCATCTGCTGTGCACCATTCTCCCTCTATTTCTCTCCCACTACCAAAACATCTAAATTTTGGTGATGCATCACTGCCTCATTTTTCATGAGACTGAATTCAAATTCATTGTCAGTAGTTCAGGAGCAGAAATACACCATTACATTTTGGGAACTTGTTACTCAGAATTCATTATCACAAAAGAGTAAAATATTTAACTGCCTTTAATCAAATAGGCACTGGATTATTGATTCATTCATTTATCAGATGTACATTTTTTATCATAAACCAATTCTGTAAACATTAAGGATCATAACACTACTCTTAGTTAAGGATTCTCTTAAGCAGGCCTATAAGCAGAGCACTGTGACCATTAAGTCCAATTCTCAGCCCTCACAATTGATTCCTGGCTTATGCCCCTGACCCATATTCCCTGCAGCCTCATATAACATTTTTAAAACGAAGCTGTCAATGCATTGTGGTCGGTCGGTTGAGTCTTAAGGCAGGGAGCACAAAATAACAATAAAGGTCATATGTAATTTGACTATCATAACAGCAATTTGGACAGCTCGAGGGTAAACTATAGACATGACACTGGCACTTCCATGGGACTGAGTAAACATTTTTGATTTATGATCATACGAGGAAGGCATCAAACTGGCGCACTATCCAGCGTTACCATCCCATCAGTGTATTATGTCTCTGCTCATTGCATTAGCACTTGATCTTTCTCTCCAAAGCTTCTCTTGCTCTATCTAATGTGGTACACTTTCACACTGTCCATTGTCTTTCTTCCCTTATTGGGTTTTTGCATGTCGGCCCAGAAGACCGGCCCTCCCTGCGGATTCTCTGATTTGCGTCCCTATTGTGGTCCATCTCATTGCACGGTCCCCAGATAAAGAAAAGCAGCGGAAGGCTTGTGTTTCTGAAAGCAGACTCCACCATCATTGAAATGACCCTGTCCACTCAATTATTTATCGCACCTTACCACTCTTGTGTGTGTGTCTGAGTCTGGATCTGTGTGTGTGTGTGAGCGTGTGTGTGCACGTGCATGCTTGTGCATGTATCAGTGTGTGTCCATGAGCATCCTCTTCCTGCTTTTTATCTCAGGACTAAAAAAGGAGGCGGGGGCATTGCCGTGTGAGAATGTATGAGTGTGTGCATGAAGTGGATTGGAGAGAACGGGATCTGTTACGGACCCAGCTTCTCTTCCCTTCAGTGCATATTCAAAGCCAATCAGTTTCTCCAGTAATTTATCTACTGCAGGTGGCTCAAAGTGCTTACCAGGAACACTCTGCTGGAGACAGTGGAAACCATTGCAGCATGCAAGGTTTACATTACACTATCGCTGCAACAAGCAACTCAACTTAGATGCCTGGTCAAGATGGAAAAAAAAAATGCAGTGCATTTGATATCAGTTTACTTAGCCAGCGAATATAAAACAGCAGCATCTGGCCGAATAATAAAGCACTGCGCAGCTGAAGAGACAGTTGCAGTATATTATATTGCTAAGGTCAAGTTCATGAGCAGAGCCTTTTGTTCACCAGCTTTCCACTATTATTACAGTACAAGAAACTGCAACATTTGCTGTGTATTACTGTGGCAACGTATTCCTCAGGCCTTAGCTGGCAATTAACTGCATGTAAATAATTGTGATTAACAGTTTGGCTTTTTTGTTAAATTGATGCAACTATTAAAGTAAAAACTTAAATTGCTTGACTGGCTAATTAGCTACCTGGCCTCCTAACTGTTGATACTTAGTAGCTCCCACCAGAAGTTAGGATATTCATTGTTTTCCAAAGGCCCCTCAAATAAATGTGTTTTCTGCTTTATCTTACATATCTTACATGTATTTGCTTCAGCCAAACAATGAGGATGCTCCTTATTCACATTATGTAATAACTCTGACAGGTGCAGTATCTCTCCTAAAAATGAAAGAACTAAACACAAATCACATGGCATATTGCAAGAGGACACCAACAATTAACATTCTAAATGGGAAGTTAAAGGAACAATCTTTGATAGGCAGAAATGACAACAACTATATGTTTTGGGTATATCAGTGAACATTGTGAAGAGTCTTTTCAGTTCTAAAGGTCAAAAAATTATTCCCACTTTCTTTCTGGATAGAAGGCATTCTAGGAACAACATCAGGACGGTATGCCAATGTTAACTTTGCATCAAATTGACTGCAATGTTTTGTAATAAGCTCTTCAGAGAAAAAACAAATCCTTTCCATCTTCCCACCATACACATAAAACCAAAACTACTTCAAAAATAGCTGAGACATTTCACCATGTGACCAAGACATATAGACGGTCCAAAAACCTGACAAAGGCAGAGATGCAGTTGACAAAGAAGTTGAGTATAGTGAGTGTGACTGTAGTATTTTTTAGTTCCCAAAATAGCTCAAATATTACTCCCTGTAACATGCAGTGAAGGGTTCACGCCTAAGATATACACAATATGTCCAAAAGTATCCAGCTACTTTCAGTTGTACCTACTGCTGTCACACGTGTGCATACATTATCTGCACAGAAAAGTACTGCTAATGGCACACTCTGGAGCAGCTACACAACTTACGATCACCATGCCTAATGCCAATCAGCTAGAGGGGTATAAAGTCCCCCAGCATTGGGCTGTGGAGCAGTGGAACTGTGTTCTCTGGAGTGATGAACCTAAATTACTGTTCACCTCTGGGGTAGCTGGATGATGGACCCTGACAGTTAGCAAAATCTATCTACCTAAATCATGAGTACCAATCATGAAAATTACCAACTCTGAATTTCTATGAGACTAATTGTAAGCTTCCCTCACAAAGTTGATATTTTTTCATTGTTTAGTGACCAGTGATCCTGTACCTCACAGAGTTGGTGCATACTAGACATTAGTAACAGCTGACGTTTGTTGTGGTGTGGCAAATATAGCATAAAACACAAACACTGTTGTGTCAGAGACATCTGACATCTGCCTGTTTACCTTTTATGTGCAATACCCCCATTTATTTAAATTAATTTGCATCTGGGTTGTTCACGTTTGCTGAAGGTTATGTTTGAAATCGAGAAGTCAGATTTACAAAACAAACAAAAACTGTCACACTTCCGCAGTCGCAAAACTTGACAGAGAAAGTGAAAACCCATCTGGGATCCCTCCTTGAACCGAAATTACCTCAGGATTACAAAGAGCATATAGTTCGCCAACCTTCTCTGCAGCACACAGCAGTTCTCTAGTCTCGGTTACCCAATATGCATCAGTTGATTGTGACAGAAGCAGCAGTAATGAGGTCTGTTACACAACACTACTATAAGAAGACAAAGAGAGTGAAGGATATGGAGAGAGCTGAAGAGCTTTGTCATGACATCACCAGGTTCAAAGTGTCTTGTAGATCTAGGCCTATTTGAGAAATCACAGACAGCCTAGCAGAGCAATCAAGGATATTCTGTTTGACTACTTCATCTGGTCTTCATAAAACTTGCTTGAAATTCCTGGAAATGAATGACTGACTTGAGCCAAATCACCTGCTCTGATACTACCTCTAGACTGCCTCTAATCTTAGATTTATGTAGGGGAGACTAGGAAGCAGCCAGCTTTACTTACCTTGTCGGATTGAGACAAATCTGTTATTGGCGGCCTGAAACACCACCTGTGGATGGCTTTCCTCCAGATCAAACAACTCATCCTTGCCTGGTTTGGAGCAGCGTCCTGAACGTAGGGTGCCTGTTGGTCCCATGGGGCTCAAGTACTTTCCCTCACAGTCCTTGAAGGCTAATTTGCCAGATTTCAGTTCCAGTGTATATCCTGTTCCACGGCCATTTTCAAATGACAGTTTCCCATCATTACTTAAGAAACGGCTGTCGCTGGTCTTTAGGCAGTATTTGCCATCCACATAAACCAGAGTTAGAAGAGCATCAACACCCCATGGAATGTTGCTGTCCACAGCTATTTCACCCTCAGGTGCAGACAGGTGGGCATAGCGCTTGCGGGCTACGCTTAGCAAGTTTGCTTGTGGGTGAAGGGCCAGGTGCATAGCCCATAGCTCTGCCTCACCAATGGTCTGAGCAAAGCAGGACAGGTAGTCCTCTGACCCTCCAAAGAACCGCAGGTGTGGCTCAGACTGCAAGGCCCAGCGACCATCTGACTGAGCTACTATTAAGAACCTGCAGTCGTTGTCTCGTGTCTCAGCCTCACAGCTCACCTTGCCATCTTTGTCAGAGGCCAGGTAGCGGCCCAGGTGGCTGCGTAGGTACACTACCTGGCCATCCTTCTCATCTTGCTCAAGTGTCCAGATCTGCTTCTTCTTGAGACTTGGAGCTGAAGCGTTCACTTTGAATCCAAATGCTTCTGCCGTCAGGTAGCGGTTCTCATAGTTAATCAGCCCAAACTGGAGCTTCAGGGCTCTATTGCCATTTGTGGGCATTGTCGTATTCCACTCAGGTGAATGTAGAAGACGACTGCAAGAGCAGAGCTGAAGAAAACTCTCAGAAGTGTTATCTGGCCTTACTGTTTAATTTGCTTCCAAAAAAGATGACTCTCAAAGGATGAAGTCCACTGAAGCCTCCTAATTTATCTGTTGTCTGTTTTAAACTGCCTTTCTTCTGATGAATATCTTTTCTTATTTGTTGGGTCCTTGGTTATTTTAGTGTTCTTTTGGTGTTTTCCCCAGGTCCTTGGCCTCTCCTCCAAGTAAAAAAAAGACTGCACTTGTCTTGTTCCCCAGAGAGCTTGCTGAGGCTCTGGGTTTTTTTCTTCTGTTTCCTAATCAGCTCAGATTAAAATCAGCAGGACTCAACACCTCAATCCAGTGAGCTGCTGACGTCACCTTGATCCCACCGGTTCCTTCTTCTCTCTGCCTCTCTCACTCCCTTCCTCCCTCTCCTCCTCTCTCTAGCTCCTACTATTTCTCAGTTCACCTCACCAACCTTATCCTAGGTCTCTGTCTGCCTTTCCAGGGGCCACCTGTGGGATTACCAAAAAACTGATCTGCTAAAGTGATGTGTCCAAGGCCAAATAGCACAGCGTGACTCCCCTCTTGCTGCCACTCTTGTCTCTTCTTTCTTGTCTGTTTGATTAATTTGTGTTCTTCTTTTTTCTCTCCTCAGTGCTTTTCCTTCATTCATATCTTAGTTTTCCACCTGATTGGTCTCCAGTTTGGTTGGTGTGTCCTTTAAACAGAGACATCTTCAGATGGGAACAGGTGCCCTCCAGTATCTCAACAGGCAGACCCTTAGCAAGACTTCAAAATTTTCTGGTCCCACAAGGATGGCCAGACAATTTAGGCCATTACTAGCACAAATATTATCTAACACTGTCACCACAGCCTCACAATGTAATAAAACTTTTAACATGTACCATGTGCCACTTTGTTCTTTTCTTCCTCTTCTCGTTTTTTTGTATTTTGTTTTGTCTATTTTCTCTTCCTTGCTAGTCTTATTCCAAGGACCCTTTTGAGGCCCTGTAATCCACCCTTTCTGTGGTCCCCGCGTCTTTATCTGCTGCCCCAGTCTTCAGCTCTTTTCTGATGGCGATGGGACACAAAGCTGGGTAACCAGAGCCCTCCCCCAGCGACAGTGGCCTGACTAAGGGATCAGTTTTCCAGCACACACTTGGTATAGAGTTACATAGCTTCTCTGATTCCAAGCTCTGTGGTTCATCTTGGTAGGGGGCTGTACACATATGTGTGCTTTGTGTGTACAGAAAAGCCAATCCAAAGATAACAGATATATAGTCAATTATAGGAAATTAGTTTTTTGGATTTTAGATAATTGAATATGTGCTTCTATTTACAAATGCGTTTATCGAAAAATTAATATGATATTGTCTAAATTGCATTTTATAGCATGCATAGTCCTATGTGGGCATGATGCAGTGTGTTCTGTCCATCCATTTCAAATCCCAAACATATTTGTTAGGAAAACAGTCTCTCGGAGGCCTCCTAATCTTCCTTTCAATTATCCCACTACATTATTAGCCCAATCTAATCCACTAACAGCCCCCAGCTCCCTCCTCTCTCCTCTAGTGTGTCTTGAAAACAGGACCTTCCATCTGTCAGTGATTGACCACAAGTGTATGAATAAGCCTGAATAACACACACATACACATACATATACAGGCTTTCCAAACATACAAACTAGATTTAATAACTACCAGTAGCCTCTGTACAGACAGATTTAAACACTGACTTACTTATGATGAAATATCAATAATCAAGAATGAAAGTACATAAATAACTAAAGATAATAAGCACAGCAATTACAACAGCAACACATTTTACAACCAGTTATGTGAAAATCACTCCCTTAACCCCAGAACACCCGACCTATTGAAGCTATCATGCTAATTTCATGCTCTTCAGGCATTGTCTGTATGGCTAACCCTCTTCTCTTTGGAACTGGTAGAGAGAGTAATCCAGGAACAGCCTGACTGACACCTTTGGCTTTGTTGTTTGACAGAAAGAGGCTACTGTGACCTGTGAGTCAGATTAATTCTACAATCTGTACACACAGCCAGGTACAACCTCAGAAGACTGGAAGAGCTCCTATGATGCAAGTACTTTTTTAGATCTAAACACACCATTTCTGAACTTCGTGTTGTGGTTCATGGTTTTTCTTGTAGATTTGGGGTAAAGGATTTATAAGATAAAAGATAATCAATCATGCTAGGGTGTGATCTGAACTTTGCACTATGCACTTTGGTGTGATTTTGACGAATGTCACTGCCAAATGTTCTGTACTTGTGTTAAGCCTATAGTCTTAGCATGCCAAATATGTAGACAGTTTGGCAAGCATGAACATGAAGTACTAGCCAAATCCACTAGAGGACAGTAGAGTTACAGGAGTACAAGAGATTTCTGTGGAAATCATTCTTTATTTGTTCACATTTAAATGCTACTTCAGACAGCCAGCAAGGAAAATGGAGCAAGCAGTCAATATAAGAAGCAGAGTGTTTATATGCAGAGTGTTTAGAACATCCAAACATCAGCATATGAATCCAACCTCATAAACTTGAGAAATTATGTTCTTCTGTCATACAATTTTCCCGGGATATTTTACACGGGTTTTAATGATATTCTGAGATATTATGCTACAAGGGCACCCTGCAGAGCTGAACTACAGCCTGATTTACATTAGGAAGGAAGCTCCACTGCAGTGATAGGAACCACTCAAACTAAATGAGAATGAAGTTACCTCACTTTAGACTGCTTACAGGTCGCAGCCCGCACATACTTACTGTCAAATACAGACAGAAAGTACAGAAACTTGCTTGCCTTGAGATGCTGTTCTACAATAAGTAACATTACCCCATGGAGTGGCACTTCTCCCAATCTCTAAGTCTTATCATTTTTTCAATACAACTAAATTATAACCACCAATGTTATATTTGTTGATGGTCGGCACCAAGTGCATTGCCATGGCCCATTACCTAAGCGTGACCCAGTGTGGTGCTGGGTGGTCATACGTTGTGGTGTGTACGTGTGTGTGTGTGGTGAGGCTGCAACAGCAGTGGCTCTTGATAGGCGAGCAGATGTTTTTGGGAGGCCAGCCCTGCCAGGTTCGCTCTGAAATGGTGCTTTAGAGCCCATTACCCTGCTCCTCTGATGACACTCAAATAGCTATCATTACCACGCAGCCCGGGGAGGGAGCGAGACTGTCAGAGAGAGAGAGAGAGAGAGAGAGAAGAGAGAGAGAGAGAGAGAGAGGTGGAGGAGTGGATGGAATAAAGACAGAGAAAAAAGCTAGAGTTTAAAAATGAACATTTCAGAGTTAACAGCCTCCAGCCTTTTCTACCCTATTAACTGCAATGCTGCTCTTCCTCTGCACTGTTGGGAGCAACCCACTATCGCCAGTACTACCAACTCATGTAGACCTCTCTCGCTCTCTCTCTCTTTCTCTCTCTCTCCATCATTCTGTCTCTTCATCATCTCTTTCATTTTTCTGTCTCTTGTATCCTCCTCCACCTATGATCTTTTCTCTCCACCCTCTACCAATCTCTCTCTCTCTCTCTTCCCCTCCTCCCACTTGCCCTTTCCTCACCCCATCCTCAATTTTTCTCACCCTCCTCCCCTCGACCCCCTCTCCATTGATCTCTGTCTTTAGAAACCAAAGACTCATTTCCATCGCTCTATCTGCTCTCTATCTTTCTTTCCCTCTGTACCAAAGACTCTGAAGCTCCTCTCTCCTTCCATCAATTCTGCACCCTCATCCTCTGTCGTTATCCATTTGTATACCCCCCACTCCCCACCATCCCATAGCGCCCTACCCCCTCTCTCTATATAGGAAGGTAGAATGTTTCAATTAAGATGTGGCAATGCTGAAAAGGGCAGATGGCTTTCACCCCCAGCGTCCGGTCAGCCTAGTCACCCCTGACCAGTGCACTAGGTCTCCAACCTATCGTCCACACCAGCCTTGTCACTGTTTCTAGACTTGTGGGGGCAACGTAAATGAGCATGTGTTGTTAGGTATCAGCTTATTGACTGAAATTATTCTTTCTTTCCTTCTTTGAGTACACTGACCACAGAGAGTATTCTTGTGGTGAGACTTCAGAGAGGGGTATGTTAGCTCCCATGAGATAATACACAACAGCAGCATGACCAGCCTTGGCCACAGGAATGCTAGCTAATGGCTGAAAATCAGTCACTCATGGCTCAAATAAACAAACTGATCACTCATACAAACTCTGTTCACTCACCCATTCATGAAGACTAAAAACTGCTCATGTGGACGCAGTGAGAAGAGATGAAAACAGGAAAGGAGCCAGAGGTAGCAGCAGGCTACAGGCTAGTGTTTTTGGCTGCTGCTGTAACTCGCTCTATAAGGGGCTGGAAACTGCAGCGGTAGCCATGCGGCTCTGCGTGACCTCCTCGTCCACAATGGCAGCGGTAAATTGTTCCTCTACTACATAATTCATAGAGGGTAAACGGCAGGAGCACTCGCCATCACTTACGAGTCTTCATCTCACCTGAAGGTGGCAGTATTGCTTTTCGTGTTGGTCTGATAAAGTAGCCTACATCAAGGGTCTTAAAAAAGGAAAAAAAGGAAAGATTAATGCTCGGTTTGTCAGTCTTGGTGCCTCTGTGACTATGAAGATGATAGGATAATACTCTTAACTATTTTTAACCAGCATTTTATTGCCCCCGCAAATGGGACCTTCCACAGAACAGTAAGAGAAGGAACAAGATTAGAAGTGTGTGTGCTGCCTAAATCAATGCAGCAATTAGCCATCTTTCTTTTAAACGTTTTTACAATTGATGGGCATTTCCCCTTCTACTCAGCCGAATTAGTGCCGTGATTCTGATGCAATTTGGCTTTTTGTATTACAGTCCTACTAGCCTGAGTACAAAACACGACAGAACTGTTTCCCACACAACACAAAGTCTTAATTAATAAACCTGACTATGGGACTTTTGTGTTTTATCTTTAC